TTCCTGTGAAGAAACCAGCAGGGCCCTCCATCTCCAAACCTGCTACTAAGCCAGCAGCAGCAGGGGCTCCTCCAGCCAAACCCAAAGCTGAGCCAGCTGTCCCCCAGGCCCCTCAGAAAACCCAGGAGCCTCCAGTCGATCTTTCCAAAGTGGTGGTGAGTCCCTGGAAAGTGAAGATAGAATTGGAGGGGGTGGTTTGAGGGTGGGATACAGCCTAGGGGATTAGGGGTTATCTAGAATATAGGGAATCAGCCCTGGAATGAGACTGGGGGTTCCCCTTAGTCCCCCATTTGGAAGCATCCAGGCTTATGACACTGCTGTTGTCTTTTCTGTTCTCTCCCTCTAACCTATAAACGTGTGTATAGCATATACACACTCATTTACCCCCTGCTGGAGGCAGGGACTCTGAGATGGGGAACATCTGGGTTCTGATGACAGTTTCAAGGTGAAGGGAAGAGAGCTGTTGCCTGCTGCTGGCTGGTAGTTCAACTCAAAAGGCCTGCAGCTCTGAACTCTAGGAGGGGAGGCTGAAGAGGACAGACTTGTTAGACAATCACAGCTGGGGGCCAGGGGTAAATTTAGCCTTTGTTCAGCCCCCAGTTATGTGAGGGATGCAGGGCTCAGGGCAGTGGAGGGAGGGGAACAGGTGGCATGGGATTAACCCTGTTCCCAGGAAACCTCCCCCCCTATAATTCCTCTTCTTGGGATTCTCCCAAGGCCCAGAGCTGGGAATGGGACTGAAGTGGTTGGGCTTCCAGCCTGGTCCCTTTGGGCCCCTCCCCAGAAGTGGCTGCCAGTTGGTTGGGAGGAGTGTTGGAGAGGGATTGAATAAACTCTGTCATCTCTCCCCACCTGCTTTTTTCTTCCACAGATCGAGTTTAACAAGGACCAACTGGAGGGTGAGGAGAAGCTGGTCTCCTAAGCCCACTGTCCAGTCCCCAATCCCCTGGTCAGATTCTCTTTCTATTCCCCTAACCCCAGTCCTGACCTTAAAACCTCCCATACTAGTCTTCTTTTCCTCCCTCATTCTATTCATACAGTTTATGAAATTCCCTTCTGTCTGGGGGTGATGAGAACCCCTAGTCTGTGTCTACACTGACTTGTCCTTATACCTTAGAGTTCAAGGAGGCCTTTGAGCTGTTTGACCGAGTGGGGGATGGCAAGATCCTGTACAGCCAGTGTGGGGACGTGATGAGGGCCCTGGGCCAGAACCCCACCAACGCGGAGGTGCTCAAGATCCTGGGAAACCCCAAGAGTGATGGTGAGGGGACCCTTGGAACAAATCAGGTTTTTAGTTTTCTTTTTTCTTTTTGAGACAGAGTTTCGCTCTTGTTACCCAGGCTGGAGTGCAATGGCGCGATCTCAGCTCACTGCAACCTCAGCCTCCTGGGTTCAGGCAATTCTCCTGCATCAGCCTCCTGAGAAGCTGGGATTACAGGCATGTGCCACCATGCCCAGCTAATTTTTTTTGTATTTTTAGTTGAGACGGGGTTTCACCACGTTGACCAGGATGGTCTCGATCTCTTGACCTCATGATCCACCCGCCTCGGCCTCCCAAAGTGCTGGGATTACAGGCGTGAGCCACCGCGCCCAGCCGGGTTTTTAGTTTTCAACAGTGGGATGTTGGTCCCAAAGAAGGAGGTGGACCTCAGGACTTCAAAAACTGTCAAACATAGGAGCAGGAAAATATCCTGAATGCTGAACAGGACAAAAGCATTGTGGTAGGGTTGGGAACTGGGTCCTACATGATTCTGCAGTGACCTCTCCTTCACCTCTCTCCAATCTCCAGAGCTGAAGTCCCGGCGTGTGGACTTTGAGACTTTCCTGCCCATGCTCCAGGCAGTGGCCAAGAACCGGGACCAAGGCACATATGAGGACTACTTGGAGGGGCTTCGTGTGTTTGACAAGGAGGGGAACGGCAAAGTCATGGGAGCAGAGCTCAGACATGTCCTCACCACCCTCGGTGAGGCAGGCCAAGGGGACCAGAACTCCTTTAGAGTAGAGAGGGGGATGGGGTGGACCTGAAAGAAGACTGGCCAGGTAAGTGGAGTCAGTAATAAGGGGATTACTGTCCTGCAGGTTGTGAGCAGGAGACTGAGAAGGTCAGAGCTATGGGGGCAGAATCTGAAGGACTTGCTCCTCCAGAGGGCAGAGTGCCTTCCAGAGGGAAGAGGAAAGGGGATGAAGCAGGAAACCTGAATTTTCATGCAGGGAGAGATGTGTGGGTTGTGTGTTCTGGTACAAGTCTCCTAACCTCCTGGGATTGCTTCCTTGTCGGTCAATACTTTCACCAGTACTAAGGTGAATTGGAAAGCAAGAGGCATCCATAACCAGGGGAGGATTCCCTTGAGGACTGAGGCTATGGGAAGTTTCCAGGGTAGGAGAAAAAGAGGTACTACTCTAAAGAGCATGGCCTGGCCGGTTGCAGTGCCTTACACCTGTAATCCCAGAACTTTGGGAGGCCAAGGCCGGTGGATCACTTGAGCTCAGGAGTTTGAGAGCAGCCTGGCCAACATGGTAAAACCCCATCTCTACTAATAATACAAAAATTAGCTAGGTATGGTGGCAGGTTCCTGTAGCCTCAGCTACCTAGGAGGCTGAGTCAGCAGAATTTCTAGAACCCAGGAATTGGAGGTTGAGTGAGCCAAGATTGTGTCACTGCATGCCAGCCTGGGTGATAGAACAAGACCTGTCTCAAAAAAAAAAAATGCTGGGCGGCTTGGTGGCTCAAGCCGGTAATCACAGCACTTTGGGAGGCCAACTACTGACCTCAAGATGGGCAGATCACTTGAGGTCAGTAGTTCAAGACCAGCCTGGCCAACATGGTGAAACCCCATCTACTAAAAACACAAAAATTAGCCAGGCATGATGTCAGGCACCTGTAATCCCTGCTACTCAGGAGGCAGAGGCAGGAGAATCACTTGAACTGGGGAGGCAGAAGTTGCAGTGAGCTGAGACGACACCGCTGTACTCCAGCCTGGGCAATAGAGCAAGACTCAGTTAAAAAAAAAAAAAAAAAAGCAGAGCCAAGGTGGGAGGATCGCTTGAGCCTAGGAGTTTGAGACTAGCCTGGGCAACATAGTGAGATTCTATCTCTATTTAAAAAAAAATTACCACCAGGTGCGGTGGTTCACACCTATAATCCCAGCACTTTGGGAGGCTGGGGTCGGGAGTTCGAGACCAGCCTGACCAACATGGCGAAACCCTGTCGCTACTAAAAATACAAAATTAGCCGGGGTTGCTGGCACACACCTGTAATCCCAGCTACTGGGAAGACTGAGGCAGGAGAATCGCTTGAACCTGGGAGGCAGAGGTTGCGGTAAGCCAAGATTGCACCATTGTAGTCCAGCCTGGGCAACAAAGCAAAACTCTGTCTCCAAAAAAAAAAAAAAAAAAAAATTACAAGGCCGGGCATGGTGGCTCACACCTGTAATCTCAGTATTTTGGGAGGCCAAGGTAGGCAGATCATTTGAGCTCAGGAGTTTGAGACTAGCCTGGGCAACTTGGCAAAACCATGTCTCTACAAAAAAAAATTTTTAAAGTAGCCAGGTATGGTGGTGCTTGTAGTCCCAGCTACTTGGAAAGCTGAGGTGAATGGCTGGAGCCCAGGAGGTGGAGGTTGCAGTGAGCCATAACGTCACTGCACTCCAGCCTGGGTGACAGAGGGAGAACCTGTCTCAAAAAAAAAGAATTACAATTGTTATGTTCATATTGTATATAAAAATATATGGAAAAAGCAAAAAGCTGGGTGTGGTGGCTCATGCCTGTAATCCCAGCACTTTGGGAGGCCAAGGTGGGCGTATCATCTGAGGTCAAGAGTTAGAGTCGAGCCTGCCCAACATTGCGAAATCCTGTCTCTACTAAAAATACAAGATGAGTCCGGGATGTGGTGGGCACCTGTAATTCCAGCTACTCTGGAGGCTAAGGCAGGAGAATCGCTTGAACCGGGGAGGAGGAGGTTGCAATGAGCCGAGATCACCCCATTGCATGCCAGCTTGGGCAGCAAGCAAAACTCCATCTCAAAAAAAAAAAAAAAAGCAAAAAAAAAGAGCGTGGCCTGGGTAGGTGAAGGAGGGAAAGCAGGGGCTTAGACGCTGTCTGGGATTCAGGAGAGAAGATGACTGAGGAGGAAGTGGAGACCGTTCTGGCAGGACATGAGGACAGCAATGGCTGCATCAACTACGAGGGTGAGGGGGCTAAAAAGAGTGGGAGCGTGGCCGGGGGAGGAGGGGAGCCCGGCATCTTGCCGCGTGTGGGTGGGGGCACCCCTGGATTACCCAGAGTGAGATGTATTATCCAAAAGCCTGCTTCTGAAGCCCCTCTTGCCTCCTCTCTCTGCAGCCTTCCTGAAACACATCCTAAGCGTCTGAGTGCTGCAGGTAGGACTCTCCCACCCCTTCAACCCACCCTAAGAGGCAAGTCTCCTGCCAGTCTCACAGCCAGCATAGAAAAGCAGCAGAGTGCGTTCTGCTGTACGGTTCCTGCGCGAGCTCCACGCTTGGCAACTTTCGTTTTTTTTCCACAGATCAGTGGGGCCCGAATACTGGGCCCCGCAGGCAGAAGCACGTTCCAGCCACCAGGAGGCCACCTATTGTTTCAAAATAAAGACTCGGTTCCTCCCTTGGTTTCAGACTGCTGTTTTCTTCCTGGTGTGGGGACCGGGGGAAACGGGGAGGGTACTAGGAGGAGGGGGAGGGTGCTAGGAGGAGGGGGAGGGTGCTAGGAGGAGGGGGACGGAAGGGAGGGCTCTCTCCTCTTCCAATCCTCTGATCTTCCTGTTGTTGGGAGGCGCAGAGTCTTTGCGCCCCACCCCCACCCCTACCCTCTAGCGTTTCCGTCCCCAGGTGGGCTGGAGAAAGGAACAGCAGGTCCCGCCTACGTCATTACTAATGTAGCAATATCTGCATAAACCCAGAACACGATTCCTATTGGTTGAGTCCGCTGAGGGTGACGTCATTGAGACGTACTAAGACTAGGGTTGGGCCGAGAGTCGGAGCCATTACTGCAGGAAAAGGTCCCGCAGAGCTGAGCAGTCAAGATGGTGGGGCCCAGGGCCTGGGAGATGGGCAGGATTGGGGGCGAGAGGCGGGAAGAAACGGGTTGGGGGCGAGGAGAAGGCAAGGGTAGGAAGCAAAGGGAACCTGAGGACACGAAAGATTGGAAGTGAGGTTGGAAAGCCTGGGGCTTTGTCCTGCGGGAAAACGAGTCTGCAGCCTGAAACTGGAATTTGTGGGTCAGAGTTTGTGGGGCTGGGATACAAACTCGGGGGATTGGCGTTCAGATGCTGACCACTCTCCTCTTCTCTGAGCAGTGTGACTTCACCGAAGACCAAACCGCAGGTAGGTAATCTCTGATCCCTACCGAGGTCACCCTTAGGGAGAGGGACATTTCCCCCAGCACCTATCCTCTAATCCTAACCTGTCATCTCTTCAGCACCCCCATGAAATTACCCCCTGGATTTTCTCTTCTTCTGGATCCTCCATTTCCTTTTCTCACTTTCTTCCTCCCTTCCCTTCCACTCTAGATCTGAGTCCCAAGCACTGGGTGAGTTTTAGGTGGTGTGGGTACGTGAAAAAACTTGGTCACCTAATGCCTGCCGTGTGTGGGGCTTGGGGAGGGTGTATAAAGCTGCCTGTGCTCCTTTGTCCCTTAATCAGCTACTTCTGCGTCTTCTCCTCCTGTGATAACTGTCCCCGCCCTTCCAGCTTGCAGTTGTAAAGATTGTAGAGCAGTGACCTGATATTCTGTGCAGATGGGGACAGGGCAGGGTAGTTTGCTAAGGATATGACTTTGTACCGCTACTCTCTGGAATTTCTCTTTGTACTGGAGGGGTGGGAAGTGGCAGTTTGGGATGACCCTAGTCCCAGGCTGCTGCTACCACTTCCTTATAAGGACAGAAATGAGACTGGGCGGTGGCAAATTCCTGCCCTGAAGTGTAGTAGCAGCAGCGGAGATTGGTGGGCTTGCTGGAGGCAGAGTGGGTGTGTGTAAATGGATGTTACCAGGCTGCCAAAGGGGGAGGAAGGCTCTATATAGGACACCTGAGTTGGGAGGAAGAGAAATAGATCTCTCTTAGGTAGACTTTGGTGTACAGTTTCGTACAGATATCTGGTTTCCTCAGCATGATCAAAGTTGAATGAGCAGCAGAACTCTGAGGTAGGGTTTGGGCTAACTCTCAAATCCTGTGTTGACATTCATCTGAATCCTTAGAGTTCAAGGAGGCCTTCCAGCTGTTTGACCGAACAGGTGATGGCAAGATCCTGTACAGCCAGTGTGGGGACGTGATGAGGGCCCTGGGCCAGAACCCCACCAACGCCGAGGTGCTCAAGGTCCTGGGGAACCCGAAGAGTGATGGTGAGGGGCCTCAAGAACAACTCCTCCGTGTGGTGGTGGGCTCAGTTCTTCAGCTAAGAGCTTTTCCCTTTATCTTCAAAGGCCCCAAACTCAAGCAAGTCTGGATTAGCAAATCCAGTGGATTTCCTTACTCATGTCAGTGTTCAGTTGAGGTCTCCATAATCCCGTCCAGAGAACTTGTGTCACTTCTCTGGCCTGACACTTCCACCTCCTTTATGGCAGAGATGAATGTGAAGGTGCTGGACTTTGAGCATTTTCTGCCCATGCTGCAGACAGTGGCCAAGAACAAGGACCAGGGCACCTATGAGGATTATGTTGAAGGACTTCGAGTTTTTGACAAGGAAGGAAATGGCACCGTCATGGGGGCTGAAATCCGGCATGTTCTTGTCACACTGGGTAAGGTTCTGTGTCCTTGTCCTTGAGCTGAGACAGCACCCTGAGCTACCTTGTCACCCAATTCCAAAAATGGCTTCTTTCCCCCTGCAGGTGAGAAGATGACAGAGGAAGAAGTAGAGATGCTGGTGGCAGGGCACGAGGACAGCAATGGTTGTATCAACTACGAAGGTAAGGGGTGAAATGGGCTTTCTCGGAGGAAGCAGCATATGGGGCAAGTCAAATATAGTGTTTGGGGCTTTCCCTATCCCTGGACTTCGGCTCCAAGAAGCCAGGAAGCAAGGGGCACGGCCCTGCCTAGCCTAGCGCAGGAGCGGGAGGTCAAGGGGGTATGATAGATAGGAAAAGGAAGGAGAAGTGTTGTAAAGGGTGGGTAAGGAATGAGAAGTAAAATAATGGAATGTCTGTTTCCCTACCACCTGACCCCCTCACCCCATGTCTGTGTCTTGTCTTCACCATGAATGTCTCTTCCTTCCTGCAGCGTTTGTGAGGCATATCCTGTCGGGGTGACGGGCCCATGGGGCGGGTACGGCTCCTCCCAGCCTCTCCTTTAGTTGATCTCCCCAGTGTTTCTTTTTTTCCCAACCTGTGCTCTTTATCCTCTGCCCTTACTCTACTACTATCTGACTTCCTCCTGGCATGTTTCTGCATGGAGCTGACTAGGGAGGGGAGGGATTCCTCAAAGAGGAAGACAGCCTGGGGGTATGGTACCTCCATACTTCTAGAATGGGCCCTGAGTGCTGGTGTCTGGGAACTCTCACCAGCCTGTAAACCAGTCTTGCTTTAGGGTAATCTTCTGGCCCGGGAGCATGGGTAGCTGGCATAGGGGGTATGGGTTGCCTGCCCCATTCTGCTGCTATAGCTGAACAGTCCTTTCCCCTTCCCTCGCTGGGCAGCTTGGAGGTACCCTAACCCAAAACTCTGTCCTCTCTTCCCGCCAGTGGCTGACAGTAGCTGTAGGTGTAGTTGAGAACTTTTCTGCCTCTGCTGTGTTCTTGCTGCTCAGGGTGGGGTGGGGGACTAACAGCTGGTAGGAGGGGAGCTAGGGTCAGGGAGAACTGGTCAGACTCAAGGTGGCTCCTCTGCATACTGACCCCATGGTTGGTTGCTGTGGACATGTTCCCTCTTATGCTACCTTTGCAGTCTTGTAGTCCCCTGGCCCTTGGCGTACCCCTCCACAGCCCTGTTCTCTGTCTCATCCCACCTTTCCTTTCCACAGAGCTCGTCCGCATGGTGCTGAATGGCTGAGGACCGTCCCAGTCTCCCCAGAGTCCGTGCCTTTCCCTGTGTGAATTTTGTATCTAGCCTGAGGCTCCCTAGGCTCTCTTGTCTCAGCACCTTTCCCATCTTATCTCTCTTGGATGATGTTTGCAGTCAGCATTCACCAAATAAAACTTGCTCTCTGGGCCCTCTGTTTGGTTCTGCTTTCTTTCCTGAGCAGGATAAATGGGAAGAAGGTGAGGTGGTGATGATTTCTGCCCTGAGGCAGAGTCCGAGGTCAATGGAGCAGGGGGTTGAGGAAAGCTGGGGAAGGCCCCGTACTAACTGGGCTCTAGTTAAGAACTGCTGGCCCCATTCATCCATCTTACACAAGCTACTTCTTGGGAGATTAGGAAAGTCATAGATCTTAGCAGGACCAAGGCTCGTCATCCCTGTTCCATTCCATATCAGGCTGTCTGTCTTCTCTTAGCCTCCCAGCTCCTTAAATCTGGCCCCTGCCCTTCCAATCTCCCAATAAGGCCTTTTTCGGGGAAGCCTGTGGAGTGTTTATTGGAGCTAAAGCCAGGCCATTATTAGCACTGCCTAGGCCTGCCCATCACCTCAGCAGGGCAAAGGGCCAATAATAACAGAAGTAGGAAAGGGGCTTCCCTCCTCCCTAATAAGGGAAGGAGTGAAACCACTACTTCTGAAGGGAAAAAGATATAAAATCTCCATGTGTGGGAATGTCCTTCCATAGCTTTTAGGGCAGGTAAGAGCCTCTGCTCTTATACCTGCCCTAAAAGGTGTAAGCTTCTGCTCTTATACATAGCCTCTGCTCATATATGGTCCTGAGAGCTGTGCTGCTGTTCGTGTTGTGTGGTGAGGTGTATCTGTAGGCCCTGTGGCTCGCAGAGTATCTCTCTAGTCCAGATAAACACTGCTGTGAAGGACTCCAGGAAAGCTGCTCCCATCCCAGTCCCCCTGCCTGACAGCCACAGGTAAGAACACAGAATGCACCCACAAGATGAAACTGAAAGCAAATTAATTTATAAAAAAAAAAAAAAAAAAAAAGGAAAGAAAAAAGAAAATGTACAGAAAACTTTGAACAGAAGAAAGGTGCTAAGACGCAAAGTGAGAGCAACACGGGGACATGAGGAACAAAGGGCTTGGTGGGAGACCCAAGAAGAACCAGTGCAGAGCGTGGAGTCACACCTGCTTTTCAGTCACTGGGGAGGAGCTGGGACGTGAAGCAGGAATGCAGGAAGCAGAATTGAGCTTCGAGCCAAGGGTTGGTCCAACCCAAGGTTGGGGACCCTCTTCGACTGCTCCCAAATCCCTGCATCCTCATCTGGGGAGCCCCCAGCTATTAGCTGAAGTTCTCACAGTCGTGGTGGGAGAGGGAGGCGGCTCAGGGGTGACCCACCAAGTCATAATAAGGAGGTGCTTAAGTGCTTTAAAAAACAATTTTGGGTTTTAAAACTTCCCATCCTCTTACAGCTCCCTTCTCTGCACCTTCCAGCAGTCCATGGATACAGCCCAGGGAGGGGAGAACAGCCCCCAGTGCTCTTTCTTCTCCTATTACCTACCACAGGAATCCCCGAAATTAGGTTTTCCCCACCAAATACACATACGCTGACATCAACTAAGCAGGTGACTTTTAAAAACAAAACAAAACTGACATTCAGAGGGAAAGGAATCACTGGCTGAGCTGGGGTAGCCTAAAAGAGCAACAGTGAGGAAGCCCGAAGGAGGGGTTATTAGTACAATTAAACTCGAATAAACTTGAATAAGTGTAGAGTGGGATGGGGGAGGGGAGCTGGGGCCTTGATGCAGTCACTAAAAAGGGGAAGAGATGGATTCTGCACCCTGTTCTATCCCCAGAGCTCTCCCTGGAACCTTAATTCCCCTTTCCTAAAACTCACTCCCCCTCAAAAAATGTAAAAGTTGGTTATTTTTCAGTGGGTAGAAGGGAGCTCCAATGTGGCTTTTTAAAATCTACTTCCTTTTAAAGGGATTTATTTTTTTTTTAATCCATAGAAAATGGAGTAGTTTTGAGGGAGGTGTACCCTTAGAAGTGGTTAATGAGAACCTTGTATAAACACCTTTCACCAGCCCTTCCTTTAGGGCAGCATTCCCATCCTATCCTCTCTCCCAGACGTTAGAAATATCTTTTAAACAGAAGTCCTTGAATAATCCGATATAAAAATGCACGCCTCTGTTAGGCATGGTGAGGGCTTTGGAGGGGCGGAAGGAGCTTTCCTTACGTAGTGATGTACTCTCCGGGCTGGGGAGGGTCCCAGTGGATGGGGAAGGGCTGTTCCTGGAACCATGATCTCCAGAGGGGGTGAGGGGAAGAGATGTCTGGCTGGCTCCTCACTGTGGAGGTGGCACAGGGGTGACCGTGCCTGGGCTCGGGGCTGTGGGGTCTGGAGGCAGGGGGGTGCCTGGGTCTGTGGAGAAAAGAAACATGAATCAGTTAGAGTGTGCAGGAGAGAGGGCTCTAGACCCAGACCACCACAGACAGACAGAACTGGGCATAGCATGCAATGGCTGGGTAGATGAATGAGGTACCCACAATGTTCCTTCTGTTCCCAGCACCCTCTTCCACTTCATACTGAGAAAAACTGATAGAAGGGAGACTCTAAATGGGGCATTTGAACGTGATGGGAACAAGCGAAGGGATGTCCATCAATCATCATGCAAACAGCTGCCTTTCAAGTTTACAACTGAGATGCTCTGTGCCACAGGATTGCTCCATGACCCACCAGTGAAAGGCCCCAAAATCACCCCAAAGGTGGCAGGTGCCAGGCTGGGGAATGGTGGAGGACAGCCAGAGAGGCCCTTCCTCCTATATTCTAATTTTTCCAGAGTGTGGAAACTCTACTACCTGACCTCTTTCCCACCTGCCCACTCGCCCTCCCTCCATGTGGATCCCGCTCCCTCACCCTTCTCCCCTCCTGGCCCCTTCTCACCTGGCAGTGGGCTGGCACTGGGCAGGAGGTTGCCCTGAACAGCTGCCACAATGGCAGGGCTTTGGGCTGCGGCGGATCCGAGCCCCGGCCCGAGAGGCAAGGAAGATGGCATGGTGGTGGTCGCCGGCAGGTTAGGATGTAGAGGGTTCGCCATGGACACAGGCAGGTTAGGTGGGGGGAGAGTGCCCGGGGCGAACGGGAGATGGTGGTGATGCCCATGCAGGTTAGGAGGAGGGGGAAGGTTAATACTGATGGAGTCAGCTAGACTACCAAATGGGATGATGGATGGAGCAGGAGGAGGAGGAGGAGGCGGCATGCCAAAAGGCAAACCCAAAGGAGCATTACCCGCCACGCCTGGGTGCCCGCTGCCTGGCACTGCCCCTGGCATCATTGAGGGAGGAGTTTGTTGGTTGGGGAACGGTGAGGGGCCTGAGAACAAAGATGAGAGATGGAGAGAGTTAGGTATAAAATTTTGCTTAACAACTCACTTTTACAGCAAGGATAATCTAGCCATTCCTTGGCATTATCTTCCCTTTTACTGACATTAGAGTAAGTGAATAAAATTCCAGAGCTCTCGAGTTTGGGGGGGGATCCCTGCTGGTTTAGAGGCCTAACAAACGCATCTTGTATTCACTTTGAGGGGAACTGGGACATTCACCTGGATCCCTCTAACCAGCAAAAGTTCTGGAACACAACACTTACCATGGGGTCCAGGGGGGGGAACCCCTGGTGGGACTGCCCCAGGCTGGGGGGCTCCAGCTGGTTGCTGCTGCTGTGGCCCTGCAATTGACCCTGCCTGCCCAATCTGTTCAGAAGGGCCCAAGCTTCCTGGAGGGGCCCCACTGCCAGCAGGAGCAGGGACTACAGAGGCTGGAGCCACAGCCAAGCCATGGACTGCGGGTGGCCCAGCAGCCCCCGTTGGGGGGATAGGCTGGGAGCCTGGGGGTAGGGCTGGCGGTGGCTGCTGCTGCTGTTGATGCATCTGTTGGAAGTGCTGCTGCCGGGCCCTCATCTCCGCATACTTCAGCTGCTCCATGTGGAAGGCTTGTCTGTCGGCCAGGAGCTGCTGCCTCTGATACTCCAGCTGCCAGTGCCAATTGAGTATTGTTATCCAATTTTCAACAGAGCCCAAAGGCAAATGCCTTGAACCCTGCTTTGTTGTCTTCTGAAAGATCCCACCTCTCAATCAGAAGGTTCCCCAAATCTACATCTTACACTTGTACTTCCTCTGCCCTCCCCACTGTACTTCGTGCAAATTCCCATGACCTTTATGTCTCCTGGGTGCTCACATGGTTTCTTATTGACTTTATCTGGCCTAGCTGACTTCAGCTCCAAAGCTTTGAACTTGCCATTGCCTTGATTTGGAAAATGCTTCCAGTTCTTCTTATCAATTCAAGTTCTTTTCTTCAAAATTCACTAAAAACTCACTATTTTGAGACGGAGTTTTGCTTTTGTTACCCAGGCTGGAGTGCAATGGCGCGATCTCGGCTCACCGCAACCTCTGCCTCCTGGGTTCAGGCAATTCTCCTGCCTCAGCCTCCTGAGTAGCTGGGATTACAGGCACATGCCATCATGCCCAGCTAATTTTTTTTGTATTTTTAGTAGAGACGGGGTTTCACCATGTTGACCAGGATGGTCTCGATCTCTTGACCTTGTGATCCACCCGCCTTGGCCTCCCAAAGTGCTGGGATTACAGGGGTGAGCCACTGCGCCCGGCCTTTTTTCATTTGTTTTTAAGACGGGGTTTCACCATGTTGGTCAGGCTGGTCTTGAACTCCTGACCTCAGGTGATCCACCCGCCTTGGCCTCCAGAGTGCTTGGATTACAGGCATGAGCCACCACACCCGGCCAAAACTTACTTTTCTTAGGAAGCTATCCCAGAACAATTCGCTCGCCTCTGAGCTTTAGCTTGATTCTATTATCTCAGGACTTAGATACTTGATCTGCAATCTCTTAATATGAATTTGGCAGATACTTTAAACCTTCTTAACTGTTTCTAATGTCTCCATATTGTATATTCATTTGATGTCTCCAATTAAACTATAAGTTCTCTGAGGTCCCTATCTTCTGTTTTGTTTTCTTCTTCTTTTTTTTTTTTTTTTGAGATAGGGTCTCACTCTGTCACCCAGGCTGGAGTGCAATGGTGCAAACATGGCTCACTGCAGCCTTGACCTCCTGGGCTCAAACGATCCTCTCATCTCAGCCTCCTGAGTAGCTGGGACCACAGGCTCTCACCACCATGCCCAGCTAATTTGTTTACTTTAAAAATTTTTTTGGTTTCAGAGATGGCCTGCCCAGAGAGGAGGTATCTAGAGAGGTAGTCAGGCTACAATAGCTATGCTGTGTTGCAGTGAGCTTCCTGGTGGCTTTAATTAAAAAAAAAAGAAAAAGAAAAAAAATTTAAAAGTTTTTTGGGGGGACTGGGTGTGGTGGCTCATGCCTGTAATCCCAGCACTTTGGGAGGCTGAGGCAGGTGGATCACCTGAGGTCAAGAGATAAAGACCAGCCTGGCCAACATGGTGAAACCCTGTCTCTACTAAAAATACAAAAATTAGCCAAGCATGGTGGTGCACACCTGTAATCTCAGCTACTCAGGAGGCTGAGGCAAGAGAATTGATCCCACCCAGGAGGCAGAGGTTATAGTGAGCCAAGATGGTGCTGCTGCACTCCAGTGTGGGCAACAGAATGAGACTCTGTCTCAAAAAACAAACCAACAAACAAAAATTAGCTGGATATGGTGGTGGGCGCCTATAATCCCAGCTACTGGGAGGCTGAAGCAGGAGAATCGCTTGAACCTGGGAGGTGGAGGTTGCAGTGAGCCATAATTGCACCACTGCACTCCAGCCTGGGTGAAACAGTGCGACTCTGTCTCAAAAAAAAATTTTAAATCCTAGCTCGTTGGGAGCCAGAGGCAGTCAAATCACCTGAGTCTAGGAGTTCAAGAACAGCCTGGCAAACATGGAGAAACCCCGTCTACTAAAAATACAAAATTAGCCAGGCATGGAGGTGCATGTCCGTGATCCCAGCTACTCAGGAGGCTGAGGTAGAAAAATTGCTTGAACTTGGGAGGCAGAGGTTGTGGTGAGCCAAGACCGTGCCATTGCATTCCAGTCTGGGCAGCAAGAGTGAAATTTCATCTCAAAAAAAAAAAAAAAAATTGTAGAGACAAGGGTCTCACTTTGTTGCCCAGACTGATCTTGAACTCCTGGGCTCAAGCAATCCTCCTACCTCAGCCTACCAAAGTATTGGGATTACAGATATGAGCCACTGTGCCCAGCCCCTATCATTTCTTTCTTTCTTTTTTTTTTTTTTTTTTTGAGGTAGAGTTTCACTCTTGTTACCCAGGCTGGAGTGCAATGGCACGATCTTGGCTCACTGCAACCTCCACCTCCTGGGTTCAGGCAATTCTCCTGCCTCAGCCTCCTGAGTAGCTGGGATTACAGGCATGCGTCACCGTGCCCAGATAATTTTTTGTATTTTTAGTAGAGATGGGGTTTCACCATGTTGACCAGGATGGTCTCGATCTGTTGACCTCGTGATCCACCCGCCTTGGCCTCCCAAAGTGCTGGGATTACAGGTGTGAACCATCGCGCCCGGCCCATTTATTTCTTTTTATGTCCTCCAAAGACAAAATAGTTCAACACTGTGTCTATCCCATTCCCTTTCCAAGTTCATCTCCTGGATCTGAGGGCCTTACCCTCTCTCTCATCATCCCTTAAGCCCATTCAATCATTCAATAACTGTTTATTGAGTCTACTATGGGCCAAGCACTGTTCAAGGACCTGGAGATGCAGCAATCAAAACAACCAGAGTCTCTCTGCCTCATGGAGCTGACCTTCTGTGAGACCTCAGTCCTTAGGCTTCACTTGTGAGACCACTTAATTGTCCTTAACTGGCTTATGCTAGCTTCCCCTGCCCTACTCCCGCCCAGCTCTGCTTTGAAGCCCTGTCAGTCTCAGGCTTTCCCCACTGTTGCTTATGTCTTTCTTTCACTGAAACACACACACACACACACGCCCCTCCGATTTTAAACTGAGGCACAACACAGCAGAGTTCCAGGGCTCCTGCTACTCACTGCTTCTCGCTCCCGGTCCATGATAGTCTCCAGCTCCTCAAAGTGCCGAAGTTTGATCTCCAACTTTTTCATCTGGGTCTCCACCAGCAGGGCCACCAAAGATTTGATCTTCCTTTCCTCAACTGCAGCCAAGTGCTAAGAAAGGAGGGGTGAGACACCACGTCACTGGGAGGACCCAACTGAAGACAATACATAAGAAAGGTAAAGTAGATGCTGGCAGGTTTAAGGACGAAGTTGCTGCGGTCACAACCCATGAAAGGGCTTGAATTTTTTTGTGCTGGGCTTATAGGTGTGAGCCACCATGTCTTTTTTTTTTTTTCAGACAGTCACTCTGTCGCCCAGGCTGGAGTGCAGTGGCATGATCTTGGCTCACTGTAACCTCCGCCTCAGGGTTCAAGCAATTCTTTTTTTTGGGAGGGGTTCAAGCAATTCTTATGCCTCAGCCTCCCCAGTACCTGGGATTACAACCTCCCCAGTACCTGGGCCACCATGCCAGGCTAATTTCTGTATTTTTAGTAGAGATGGGATTTCACCATCTTGGCCAGGATGGTCTCAAACTTCCAACATCAAGTGATCTGCCCACCTCAGCCTCCCAAAGTGCTGGGATTACAGGTGTGAGCCACCATGCCCAGCCTTTTAAAAAAATTAATTTATTTTTGCTGGGCGCGGTGGCTTATGCCTGTAATCCCAGCACTTTGGGAGGCCGAGGCAAGCAGATCACTTGAGTCCAAGAGTTCGAGACTAGCCAGGGTAACAGGGTAAAACGCTGTCTCTACTAAAAATGCAAAAAATTAGCCAGGCATGGTGCCACGTGCCTGTAGTCCCAGCTACTCGGGAGGCTGAGGCAAGAGAATCACTTGAACCTGGGAAGTAGGGGCTGCAATGAGCTGAGATCATGCCACTGTACTCCAGCCTGGGCAACAGAGCAAGACTGCCCCCCTCCAAAAAAAGAAAAAAATAGAACACAGAGAGTGTGGCAAAGGGTAACACAGAGCCAAATACTGAGGGGTGGAAAACAGGCCCAATGGTGAAGTATTTTTTTAAGCTTAGAGAAGGGATGACTAACTTTACCTCCTCTTGAGGTAAAAATGAAAAAGAAATAGGTCAGCATTATTTAAGGTGTGAGTGAGGAAGGATTTCCTCTAAGTGACATGAGATTAGAGAAGTGGGCATTTTCTTCCCTGAGGTCTTCAAGATCTGGCCTCACCTTGGCTTTCACTGCGGCAGCGGCCAGGGCGGCGGCAGCGGCGGTGGAGAGGTTGCCCTCGCCAATGTCCCGCTCCACCTTTGTCTTCCTTTCCCCCTCAGACTCCACCACTTCCTTCAGCACTTCCTCCTGCCCTTCTTTTGGCTCCTTCTCCTTCTCAGGATCAACTGGGCCAGGACAAGTGTTGAGTTAGCCCCACAGCTTCACCTCTCTTTCCTACACCCCACCTACCATTCTGGGAGGCTCACCTATTGGGTCTCCATCACTCTTCTCAGACTCCTTCTCGCTGTCACCTTCTTTCCCTTTCTCTTCATCCTTCTTGGGAGCCTCACTGGTTTTCTCCTTTGCTTCCTCCTCTATAGCACCCCCTCCTTCTCGGGGTTCCTGAAATTCCAGTGATAGAAAGGAGAGTTGTCAGGGATTGGGGTGATTAGTTCTGACACAGAGAGGCCAGATGGGGAACTGAATTTATTCCTCTTACTTCAGAGGTGATCTGATTGTATGAGACAACCCCGTCCAAAACCAGCCCTTGCCCACCTAAGCTGAAAAAGGCCAACTCCCCCATCACCACAGTGCTGCACGTAGCCCCTGCAGCTCCCAGCAATCCCTCTATACCTTGGGCTCCTTCTTCTCATCTGTGGCCTGGCCTTCCACCCGAGCCTCGTCATTCCCACTCTCCTCTGGGCCCATGGGAAAAGAAAGGAAAACAGGAAATGTCTAATACAGTCGTCTGTCTGTAATACTTTGTTTCTTCAGAGACAGGGTCTTCCTATGTTACCCAGGTTGGTCTCAAACTCCTGGGCCCAGGCACTCCTCCCATCTCAACCTCCTGAGCAGCTTGGACTACAGGTGTGAGCCGCTGCACCCAGCTTCTCCACAACACCCTTTTTTTTTTGAGACAGGGTCTCGCTCTGTCACCCAAGCTGGAGTGCAGTGGCACAATCATGGCTCACTGCAGCCTTGATTTCCCAGGCTCAAATGATTCACCTCAGCCTCCTGTGTACCTGGGGTTACAGGCGCATGCCACCATGCCTGGCTAATTTTTTTGGTATTTTTTGTAGAGATGGGATTTTGCCATGTTGCTCAGGCTGACTGGTCTCAAACTCCTGGGCACATCAGCCTCCCAATGTGTTGGGATTACAGGCGCAAGCCACCGCACCCAGCCTTCCCAAGACTTGACTTTTGTCTCTCTTTTTTTTTTTTTTTTTTTTAAATAAAGATGGGGTTTCACCATGCTAGCCAGGCTGGTCTCAAACTCCTGACTTTAGGTGATCTGCCAGCCTCAGCCTCCCAAAGTGCTGGATTTAACCACCACGTCTGGCATTCCCAAGACTTTTCTACCAGCCCTTTCTACCAGCCAAGATTTTTCTACCCAAAATCTTCATGAAAGGACCAGTAGGGGGTCCAGAGCCCCTAAGGTAAAGTCACAAGGAAAATAAAAACCCTACCAATTTTCTCATTCATGTTGTGCTCTGATGCCAACTTGAGGCAGAAATGGCTCAGGAGGCCAGATGGCTCTGGCTCTTGTGAAAGGCAAGAAATCTGGGAACCTGCCTGGCCTTACCAATCCGCTCAGGCTCATCAGAGGTGGTTCCTGCAATGCCACTGCTTTCCAGACCAAAGGCGGGGTCCGCCTTGCCTGTTACTTTGGCTGCTTCTTCCACTTTCCGAACATGAGCCTCCACCAAGGCCGTGGGTACCTCTTCCTTCATTTTGGAGAACTCCTCTGCAAGATCCAGAAAGGATGAGGCTGGGAGCAGCGCAGGGGGACAGTTCTGGCAATCCCTGCAAAAGCTTACTCACAAGCCCATGTCTTCATCTAAGACCAGTATAGAGAGCCTAGACAGGTGCCTGAGCTGAGGCCTGCACAGACAAGGCCAGCAGGGTAATCAAACTTGAGAGGTTTCACAGACTAACTAGCCTTTCAAAAGCAAACTAAGAAGGCCAGGTGGAACCGCCCACCCCTCATTACCTAGGGCTGACTTTGCAGCAGCAGAGGCGACTCGGGGATCGACGACAGAGGCCAGGAAGGCAACAGTGCTCATAACAGGGTTGCCCGACTGACTGAAGGGGATGGGTTGGTAGGCCAGGGGGCCTAGGGAGGCCTCTGAGTCCTCCAGGTATGGGTCTTCAATGGGAAGACGAAGAAAATGCAAGATGCACTCGTCCTGTGTGCGGCTTCCCACATGCTCGGACACTTTGTTCCAGTCATCTTTGTACATTTCCAGTGCCTGGTGGTAGTGGTGGAGACATAACTCCGCTTACTTAGCCACTTTTCTTGAAGGCCGACTCCCCCCATCCTACTAAGGGCAGCTGTTTTCAAAGCTCTCTATGTTCTGGTATTTATGTACTCTGCTAGGTCCAAGGGGGATCTTGAAGTAGCACTAAGAAAGGATATGAAGTTAATGAAATGGCCCAAATCCCAAGCCTGGAGCTGGTTCCTGGGGCAGGTCCAACAGGCATGAGGAAGGGGAAAGACTGAGGGCAAGATCATGCTCTGCTCATGCCAGACTCCATGATCTCTCCTCACTCACAAGTGTGGCCAGCACCTTCAACATGTCTGTTTTCTTTCTTTTTTTTTTTGAGACAGGTTCTTGTCTCACTCTGTCACCCATGCTGGAGTGTAGTGGTGTGATCACTGCTCACTGCTCACTGCAGCCTTGACCTCCTGGGCTCAAGCAATCCGCCCACTTAGCCTCCTGAATAGCTGGGGCTGTAGGTCTGTGCCACCATACCTGACTAATTTTAAAAATTTTTTGTAGACACAGAGTCTCACTATGTTGCCCAGGCTGGTCTTGAACTCCTGGGCTCATGTGATCCTCCTGCCTTGGCCTCCCAAAGTGCTGGGATTACAGGTGTGAGCCTCTACACGAAGCTCACTTCTGTTTTCAGAGAAGAACTCTCTTTTCCTTGTCCCAGTTACCTCCAGGAGAAGCAGGGTTTCCTGTTCTGTCCACTCACGAGTGGCACTGGCTGCAGCTTTGCTCTGCAGGGGAAACACAGGCAGGTCAGGAGAGAGGAACCTGTAATCTAGAGGAGCGAACATTCTCTACCCCTAAAGTCGGCTCGCACATCCTACCTTGGAGGGGACATTCTTTTTTGTGTACATGTCTGTGCGCAGCCCAAAGTTTTGCATGTCTGTTGGTTTCTCTTTGCCTTTGTCGGGAAAGTTGAGCATTTGTTGGGAAGCAGAGGTCTGCTATTTGTGGAGGGAAAGAAAGAGATAAGTACAAGTGACCAATGGGAGCCCAGGGCCTGACAGAGAGAAAAAACAGACAGAAGGAGCTTCTTTCCCAAAGCCAGGGACGCCCCTGGGTGGGACTCCCTCCCTTACTGCTGTAGTTCCTCTGCTCTCATGTCTCTTCTTCCCGGGCAGGGGCCCCCCAATAAAGGGGCAAATGAGCAGCCCAGCGGGGTCTGCACCCCACCTACCAGCTCTGGCTTGCCCTTAGCCGTCTCTGGCACCAGGTCATCCAGCTCTTTGCCCTTTCGCCCAGCCTTGGTATCAGCATCAACCTGGCGGCCCTGGGGGACAGAGCTTGGCGTCATGGAGGCTGGGTAGGAAATGACCAGGCCAAGGCCCTGGAAGCCTCAAGACCAAATGCTGGGTGGCCCGTAAGCTCTGGGGGCACTCATGCCACTGTTCCATGTTCCCTTCATGATTAATAAGACATGTCGTTGGCATGATATCCATTTATATTCACATTATCTTTACAGGTTCTCTTAGGAGCTGGACAATTAGGTTCTAATCCTAGATTTGGTACTCTGTGACCTTGGGCAAGCCACATAACCTTCCTCCTAATTTTTGTAATGGATGAAGTGGAAATGAAAAAAAAAATGAAGGTGATAATTATGAGGCAAAAATGAAAAAATGTGGGAAAGATGACAAAGTTTAAAAATTTCATGCAAGTTAATTTTAAGGCATTTTTCTCTATCTATTGAATCCCCTACATTAGCCTGTCTGCTCCTTGAGTAAAAGGATCATCTCTTCTCCCTCAGCAATTACAGCCTTAGGTACAAAGGCTAAGAGAGGGTGCTAAACACATGGGGCTGATTCTTGTGGCCCTTTGCATCCCATGGAAAAGGAGGAAGCCTCAAAATACTCCTGAATCATTACCCTCAAAACCAGAAAAAGAAAAGTCCAAAGAAGCCCAACCTTCCCAACCCACCCTGTCCCCATAGAACCTCACCCTACCTGCGGGGTCTTGGGCTGCAGAGGCACCAGCCCTGATGGTGTGTCAGCCAAGACATGGAAGTGAGAGGTAGGCGGAGGCCCCATTGGGGTTGGTCGACTCTCAGCATCCACCTGATAGTTAATAAGACCCCATTGTTCTAGGAAGGCATGGACCCTGTGTGGAGAGGGCAGAGAGAGGGTCACATGGATAGTCAGAAAGCTGCATTAGGAGGAAAACTTAGGGTACAAGTTGGGGCATAAACTCCTTCCCCATCCAACCCTGGCCTTTTCTTCTGTTCATTGTACACCTTAGGAAAGCTCACTTACTAATTGTTCATTTACCACCTAAATGCCAGTGAAACCCACATCTACATCTACAGCCTGGGCCAATCTCTATATCCACCTACCTACTGGACATTTCTTTCTGAACAGCTAGTAAAACTGAACCAGTTTTTCTTTCTTTCTTTTTTCCCTGGGAGAGGCTGAAGTGCAGTGGTGTGATCACCGTTCACTGCAGCCTCCACCTCCAGGGCTCAGGTGATCCTCTCACCTCAGTCTCCTGAGTCACTAAGACCACAGGCACATGCCACCACACCTAGCTAATTTTTTGCATTTTCTGTAGAGATGGGGTTTCGCCATTTTCACCAGGCTGGTCTCAAACTTCTGGGCTTCAACGATTCTCCTACCTTGGTCTCCCAAAGTGTTTGGATTACAGGAGTGAGCCACCATGCCTGGCCTGAATCCGTAATCGGTATCTTTCAATTACAGACGTGCTCCTTCTCTGTCCTTTTTTTTTTTTTTTTTTTTTTTGAGACGGAGTCTCACACTGTCACCCAGACTGTAGTGCAGTGGTGCGATCTCGGCTCACCGCAATCTCCACCTCCTGGGTTCAAGCAATTCTCCTGCCTCGGCCTCCTGAGTAGCTGGGACTACAGGTGTGTGCCACCACGCCCAGCTAATTTTTTGTATTTTTAGTAAAGATGGGGTTTCACCATGTTGGCCAGGATGGTCTCAATCTCCTGATCTCGTGATCCGCTTGCCTCGGCCTCCCAAAGTGCTAGGATTACAGGCGTGAATCACCAAGCCTGGCCTCTTTGTCCTTTATTCTACCCTTCAGAGAATGCCACTGCTAATCTCTCAAGTCATTCATTCCCCAAACCTGTACTTCGCCTTTCTCTAGAGGTATTTTTTCTGCCTGCTCCTCTATGTTCCTTACTGGTATCTCTACTACTGCCAAAACAAATCCATAGGCAGACATTCTCATGTACCCCTTTGTCCTCAGCCACAAGACCCACCTCATGATGGCACAGACATCACCTGCCAGATTTCGGCGGCAGGCAGTAGAGGTAAGATACTCTTGGGGGTTCAGTCGGTAAGTGTCAATCATAAAGTTTCGATAGGCCAGGTAGCTTAGAAGAAAGAGAGAGAGGAACAAGAAGAAAAATAAATGTTTGTTAATGGGCTGAAGAGTAGGAAAAAATGGTAAGAGACCTAATGACTTTTCCTGCATGGCAAAGACAGAAAAAAGGAGATTATTTGACTCAATATGCCTAGTGCCTGCAATATGCTAGATGTAAGGATTTCAAATATGTCTTACTTTTCCTTGATAGGATTTTCTTTAGTTAAATGAATTATCTCCTTGGCTATACTTAGGGATATTTCATACAATTTTTTTTTTGAGATGGAGTTTTGCTTTTGTTGCCCAGGCTGGAGTGCAATGGTGTGATCTCGGCTCACTGCAACCTCTGCTTTTCAGCTTCAAGCAATTCTCCTGCCTCAGCCTCCCAAGTAGCTGGGATTGTAGGCATGCGCCACCATACTCGGCTAATTTTGTATTTTTAGTAGAGACAGGGTTTCTCCATGTTGGTCAGTTGGTCTTTAACTCCCGACCTCAGGTGAAAAGTGCTGGGATGATTACAGGCGTGAGCCACATTTATATAATTTTTATAAAGCCACTTTATACAATTTTTATTTTTTTAATTAAAAAAAAATTTTTTTTTTTGAGACAGAGTCCCACTCTATCGCTCACACTAGGGTGTGGTGGTGCAATCTCGGCTCCCTGCAACCTTCATCTCCCAGGTTCAAGTGATTCTCCTGCCTCAGCCTCCCAAGTAGCTGGGACTACAGGCGCCTGTCACCACACCTGGCTAATTCTTTTTGTCTTTTTAGTAGAGATGGGGTTTCACCATATTAGCCAGGCTGGTCTCAAACCTGTTCTTGTGATCCACCTGCCTTGGCCTCCCAACGTGCTGGGATTATAGGCATGAACCACTGTACCCGGCCTATATAATTTTTAAACAAGGAATTAGAAGTTAAGAAAAAGTACTCAGCTGGTCACAGTGGCTCACACCTGTAATCCCAGCACTTTGGGAAGCTGAGGTGGGAGAATCACCTGAGGTCAGGAGTTCGAGACCAGCCTGACCAATATAATGAAACCTGTCTCTACTAAAAATACAAAAATTGGCCAGGCATGGTGGCATGCACCTATAATCCCAGCTACTCGGGAGGCTGAGACAGGCAAATCACTTGAACCTGGGAGGTGGAGGTTGCAGTGAGCTGAGATTGCACCATTGCATTCCAGCCTGGGTGACAAGATCAAAACTCTGTCTCAAAAAAAAAAAAAAAGCCGGGCACGGTGGCTCATGCCTGCAATCCCCAGCACTTTGGGAGGCCAAGGTGGGCAGATCACGAGGTCAGGCGTCTGAGACCAGCCTGGCCAATATGGTGAAACCCCATCTCTACTAAAAATACAAAAATTAGCTGGGCATGGTGGTGGACGCCTGTAATCCCAGCTACTCGGGAGGCTGAGGCAGGAGAATCACTTGAACCCAAGAGGTAGAGGCTGCAGTGAGCTAAGACTGCATCGTTGCACTCTAGCCTCGGTGACAGGCAAGACTCTGTCTGAAAAAGAAACTCCAACTCAGATGTTAAAGGGAAGTCCTTATTCATGCATACAGCTAGTCAGCATAACATGGTAAAAAACATACGTTTTGAAGTTGAAAAGATCTAAGTTCAAATCCCAGTTCTACCATGAGGACCTTGGCAATTTACTTCAATTTTTTTTTTTTTTTTTGAGACGGAGTTTCACTTTTGTTACCCAGGCTGGAGTGCAATGGCGCGATCTCGGCTCACCGCAACCTCAGCCTCCTGGGTTCAGGCAATTCTCCTGCCTCAGCCTCCTGAGTAGCTGGGACTACAAGCATGCGCCATTGTGCCCAGCTAATTTTTTATATTTTTAGTAGAGACGGGGTTTCACCATGTTGACTAGGATGGTCTCGGTCTCTTGACCTCATGATCCACCTGCCTTGGCCTCCCAAAGTGCTGGGATTACAGGCTTGAGCCACCGCGCCCGGCCCTTTACTTCAATTTTTTTAAACCTCAATTTCCTCATCGGTAAAATGGAATGTCTGTTGAGAATGAGAGGTCTATAAAGTAGGAGTACAGTGCCTGGCACACTGTAGGGGCTCAAAAAAATGGCAGCTATATGCGGTACAGTGTAAAGTTTCAGAACATGGGTCAGATAAAAGGATTCAGATTCTGGTTTTACTTATTAGCTCTGTGACTTTATGCAGGTGATCTGACTCCTCTATATCCTATCTGTCAACTGAAGATGATACCTACCTCTAAGGTCGACGTAAAGATTAAATTACTCAATGTATGTTGGACATTTAGGATAGTGCCTGAGAGACAGTAAGCTCTCAATAAATGTAGGCAATTATCATAATTTAGTATTTTACACCAAGAGTTCATTTCTTACTCCATCCCTGACTCCATGTTATATTGAATTCATTTCACCTGATCACTACTTCTTTTCACACATACTGCTTTCCCTAGGAAGAGAAGGAAGAGAGAACCATACAAAACTATGGGGAAAACACATGGAGGGACCCCCAGAGAGAGGAAGCTGTGGAATATTTGGGAAGAAAACTTATTCAGTTCTCAGTCTCACCCACCTCATCAGTGTGGTTATCTTGAAGTATCCTTAACCAAAGAAGATTGTCAAGCCCCTTATCCAAAGCCAAGCAGGTTTGGCCTGAGGCAAAATCTTGAAGATGATGAAGACTTTTGATCCCCAAACCCATACATTATTTGTTCATTAAATTTTTAGAGATGGGGTTTTGCTGTGTCACCAAGGCTGGAGTGCAGTGGCATGATCATGGCTCACTGCAGCCTCAAACTCCTGGGCTCAAGCAATCCTCCCATTTCAGCTTCCCAAGTAGCTGGAACCACAGGCATGCCCCACCATGCCCAGCTAATTTTTTTTTCCCACTTCTTTAGAGATGGGAGTCTTGCTATGTTGCTCATGCTATTCTCGAACTCCTAGCCTCAAGCAATCCTTCTGTCTCAGCATCCTAAGTAAATGGGAGGATTTACAGTTGTGAGCCACCGTGGCTGCTACACTTCTTTCCCAGAGAGCCCTCTCTATCCCTTAATTCATATAAACAGGTCTTCTATTAGTTCCTTCTCTTGTTTTTCATATATATATATGTATGTGTGTGTATATATATATATGTATGTGTGTGTGTGTGTGTGTGTATATATATATATATATATATATATATATATTTTTTTTTTTTTTTTTTTTGAGATGGAGTTTCGCTATTATTACCCAGACTGGAGTGCAATGGCACGATCTCGGCTCACCGCAACCTCCGCCTTCTGGGTTCAAGCAATTCTCCTGCCTCAGCCTCCCGAGTAGCTGGGACTACAGGCACGTACCACCATGCCCAGCTAATTTTTTTTTTTTATTTTTAGTAGAGACGGGGTTTCACCTTGGTGACCAGGATGGTCTCGATCTCTTGACCTCGTGACCCACCCGCCTCGGCCTCCCAAAGTGCTGGGATTATAGGCGTGAGCCACCGTGCCCAGCCTCCTTCTCTTGTTTTTCTATCAAAACCTACTCTGAGGAACCAGCCTGGTTATAGTAATTTACACTTTAATCAAAATGATTACTTTTGCTGAGGATATCTGCAGTATAGACAATTATCAGTAATTATGGATTAAAAGGCTCTATATCCTGTTAAAAAGAATTTGAGGCACCGGAGTACATACTTGTTATGTAAAGAATATACTTAATATCACCCTTGGGCAAATCCTAAAGAACATGTGTCTACATGCTGGGTCAGGGCTGCCTATGGGCAGATATTGTGTCTTTGCAAGCCTATCACAGTGCCTGGCTCATGGAGGTAGCTCAAGAAATGTTTGCTAAACTGAATGTTATTGGATCAGGAAGGGTGAATTGGGGGACAAGAAAGGTGAATTGGGGGTCAGGAGTGAGAAGGAAAAATATGAGCTGAGATTTCCTTACATCTCTGGAGTCTTGGACTTGTTCTTGCCGTTGAAGAACTCAGGAAGAGCCCTCCGCTCAATGGCATGAACGCTGCAAGAGAAGCCAGAGTGGTTTCAGAAGAAGGCACTGGTGAAGGGATGGGGGCCCCAAAGGGAGAAAAACCCTAGAAGAGAAGGAAAAGAGCTCAAAATTGCTAGAAGTAATTAGAAGCTTAGGGAGAACATCCCACAAGGGCTTAAGACTCAAAAGGACACCAGGAGCTCCCCTAAAACTAAAGTGTACTCTGGTCTATCTGGCTGAGGAAGAAATAACTCATTTGGAGGAGGCAGGGAGAAGAACAGTCTGTTGACCCCTGGAGGCAGGGAAATAGGGCTCAGCGAGAAGTTGGGGAAGCCGTACCTATTGTAGTCGAACCAGGCTGCATAGCTGGGAATGATGATGTGGTGGGTCTGTTCCGTCACGTTGTCCTCATGCAGATCTGGATTCTTGGTCTGCTCCCCCTTGTTCCCTGTACTGTTCTCATCCTCATCCTACAAGTATGGAGGCTGCTGGACACTCAGCATTCCTGTTTCCTCCCTAGCAACCCTCTGCTTCTCCCACACCCCAGGAATGTGGATACTAAAGATGGGTGATGGGACTGAGCAGTCATGGGCCCCGGACTCTAAAAGGGTCAGTGTTTTGAACAATAGCTAGAATTAGTCTAGGGTGAGGAAAGTCTGGGCAGTGAAAAGTTTGGGCAGAATGAACTTTATAATCACAAATAAGAATCACATAGAGAGGTAGGGCCTCTCTAAACTGGCTCCACCTTGCCCGTCGTCTCCATGCTTTCATCTTCCTGTTCATCTGAAAGAGAAAGACAGCAAAATGTAAGGCTGGAGCCCCCTGAGGGGCAAGAAAGCCCTATCAAAAGCCCATCAGGCTAGCAGAAAGGGGTCAGATGAGCCCTCCCCTCCCCTTGGCTCTGACTGCCTTGCTCAAGAGTTTCCCATCTTACCCAGGTCAGTCATGGTGCCGCCTTTGACTGGGGCTGACTCTGAGTCTTTCTTTGTGTTGACTGCCAAAACAGAGAGTCGTTTTATCAGACAGGTTATGCCTAATTCAAGTCTTCGATTTAATAATTACAGAGATCTTACTTTCTCCAAAAATTTTCTCCATCTGATCTCAAAATATAGTAACTCTCTCCAGTCACAATTATTCTAGAGCTTGAAACTTGCTTGCTACTTTCCCCACTTCTCTAACCAAAAATTAATTTATTTCTTTATGTACATTCATAAACCATTTTGTCTTTGAGAGGCCCGATCTCCATCTATTATCTGTAAGCTTTTAATGGTCTGATACTGAGTCTGACCAAATCACTCTGTAGAGGAGTGGTTAGGTGTTAAACATTTTTGAAAGCAGAGGATACTTTCCTCAACTGAATTCATATGTATATAGGAGCAAACATAGAAAGGAGAGCTGATTGATGAGGAGATGGAAGCCAGAACTCCTCTCAGTGGCACCCCTAATCCTACCCCTGAAATATGCTCCTGGAATACCTGGGGCAAGTCTATGGAATATAGACTGTAAACCAGTACTGGTAGAGCAATGGTCTCCAAATTGGGGTTCTCACATGGGATGCAAAAGATGATCCACTGCAATTCAGGAACAGAATATCAGAACTTTTCTTCATGTTTATCATTCTTTACATTTTAAAATTTTTTAGGTATGTTTGTGTTTTTTTTTTTAACATTCCCATAGTAGTAGCTTAATAGTACATGTACGTAATTTATGCTCAAATATATATATATATACACATATTTATATATACACATATTTATATATATTTGAGCATAAATTACGTACATGTACTGTTAAGCTACTCTGAGATGGATTCTGAGACGGAGTCTCACTCTGTTGCCCAGGTTGGAGTGCACTGGTGCGATCTCAGCTCACCACAACCCAAGCCTCCCAGGTTCAAGCAATTCTCCTGCCTCATGAGGCCTCCTGAGTAGCTGGGACTACAGGCACGCACCATCATGCCCAGCTAATTTTTGTATTTTTAGTAGAGATGGGGTTTCACTATGTTGGCCAGGCTGGTCTCAAACTCCTGACCTCATGATCCACCAGCCTCAGCCTCCCAAAGTGCTGAGACTATAGGCGTCTACAGCCTCCCAAAGTGCTGAGACTACAGTAAGCCACTGTGCCTGGCTTTTTTTTTTTTTTTTTTTGAAGTGGAGCTTTGCTTGTCACCCAGGCTGGAGTAGAGTGGCGGGATCTTGGCTCACTGCAACCTCGACCTCCTGGGATCAAGCAATTCTCCTACCTCAGCCTCCTAAGTAGCTGGGATTATAGGCATCCACCATCATGCCTGGCTAATTTTTGTATTTTTAGTAGAGATGGGGTTTTACTATGTTGGCCAGGCTGGTCTTGAACTCCTGACCTCAGGTGATCCACCCACCTCGGCCTCCCAAAGTGCTGGGATTACAGGTGTAAGCCACCATGCCTGGCCATGCTCAAATGTATTTTACTATCGAAAGCACATAATCGGAGTTTGGAGACAACTACTACCAGGCACAAAGCACAGTCCACAACCCAGATATGGATATAAACTTAGAGGATTTTCCATGGTAACAAATATAATTCTAATAACCAACTAAATTTAAGGAAAAGATCCTGTAGACTGTGAGGCAGACCTGAGAAATCAGCTCACTCAGGGTTTAGCAAAGGAGAGTCAGGACAGGGAGTGGGGCTGGATCCCAGGAGCTCAGCCTGTCCTGTACCTGTTTTGGGAAGTGTCACCTCTTCTACATTGGGGACTGGTGAGGGCTCGTCCATGTCCTTTGTCAGGTCTTCTTGCTCCTCTTCTCTGTGACCACGCTTTGACTTAGTGTAAGGTGTTGAGGGACTGGGAAGGAAAGACAGTGAAAGAGAACCCAGTCATCCTTGGACAAGAGTCCCTGGCAGTTGAAGTTCAAGGGAAGGGAAGTGACAGAGAATCCCAAGGGTAGAGTTGAGTACAAACAGAAACCAGTAATTACAGAGTAATGGGAAATGGCAAAGGCTTTTCATTTGATAAAGCTCTCTTTAAGTTTATGAGTGGGGCCAGGACCAGAACTAACAACTATGCAGCTAAAAATCTCCTCATCTTCCCTCTCAGGACACCTGTAGTATTATAAGGCACACCCAGGTCAGGGCCAGGTGGTTAAAGGAAGGGATTTGGCTTTCCTTCCTTCAACATGATACGGAGAGAATGGTGAACTCAGGGGCAGGCTAGGGGCTGGCACACCCTTTCTTAGCATTTTTCTTCTTTGCTTCTGGGGTTGGTGAAGGAGAGGGGGAGCGCTTCCTCTTCTTATAGTTTCCCCCCTTCTTGTCCCGTCGATCTGAATCTGGGCTGTTCACCTATAGGATGGAGAATCAGGACAAATGTCAGCATACAATCCCCAGTGAAGACTTTTTCTGAGACTTATGCTAAGGGCGCCTGGAAAAAAGAACAGGGTTTGTCACCTCATCTGTCAATGTCTTGGCTGAAATCTTCTTTCGGCGGGAGACAGGGTTTTTGTCATCATTTACTTCATAGTCTTCCTCATTCATCCATTCATTGAAGGTGTCAGTGTCCAGGATCCACTTTGCATGAACCTAAAGTACGAAGGCAGATCATGCCGCAGAGAAGCTCTGTCTGCGGAACCTTAACAGAAAAAGTCCAAGGACACAGGAGCCTCTGTTTCACTTCCAAAGAGTAGACTGGTCCTGGCATTCTTTTTTGGGAAGCGGGGGTACAAGAAAAACTCACCTTCCTAGGTTTCTCAGGAGTTGGAGCATCTTCCACAGATGCTTCAATTTCACTCGCTGGGATCCATGTGTCATAACTGCCGTGGGAAATTGGGCATACAGTAGAATCAATGAGATGGAGTTGTGGAAAAGTAAAGTGCAGATCTTTTACCCTTTTAATTTGCAGAAAGTATTGGGTTGTTGGCTTATTTTTTTGGTATTCTATTCATATAAAGTAATAAAAGCCCATTACAAAACACTTCAAAAATAGAGAATGAAAAGAATCGCCCTTACATAACTACTCTTGACACTTGTATATATATTTTTCACAGTAATTTTTTTTTTTTTTTTTTTTGAGATGGAGTCTCGCTGTCACTCTGTTGCCCAGGCTGGAGTGCAATGGGGTGATCTCAGATCACTGCAACCCCTGCCTCCTGTCTTCAAGCAATTCTCCTGCCTCAGCCTCCTGAGTAGCTGGGATTACAGGTACCCACCACTGTGCCCAACTAATTTCTGTATTTTTAGAAGAGAAGGGGTTTCACCATCTTGGCCTGGCTAGTCTCAAACTCTTCCACCCGCCTCAGCCTCCCAAACTGCTGGGATTACAGGCATGAGCCACCACGCTGGGCCGGAGTTTTTGTTTTTGTTGAGACAGGGTCTCACTTTGTTGTCTAGGCTGGTCTTGAACTTCTGGCCTTTAGTGATCCCCCTGCCTTGCCCTCCCAAACTGCTAGGATTACAGAGTGAGCTACTGTGCCTGGTCCACAATTTTGTTTTTACATAGTTATAATCACATTGATGATATTTTACATGCTACTTTTTTTTTTTTTTTTTTTGAGACAGGGTCTTGCTCTGTTACCCAGGCTGAAGTGCAGTGGTGCAATCATGGCTCAACGCAGACTCAACTTCCTGGGCTCAAGCAATCTTCCAGCCTCAGCCCCCCCAAAAAGTTAGGACTACAAGTGCATGCCACCACACCCAGCTAATTTCTGTATTTTTTTTTTTGGAAACACAAGAATTTTGCCCAGATTGGTGTCAAACTCCTGGATTTAAACAACCTGCCTGCCGCAGCCTCCCCAAGTGCTGGGATTATAGACGTGAGCCACGGCACCCATCCTACATATTAGAGGGATGAGCCATGGCACCCAGCCTACATGTTTTGTTTTGTTTTGTTGAGACAGAGTCTTGCTCTGTCACCCAGGCTGGAGTGCAGTGGCGAGATCTCAGCTCACTGCAACCTCCCCTGCTCAGGTTCAACTGATTGAAGTGATTCTCTTGCCTCAGCCTCCCAAGTAGCTGGAGCTACAGGGACGCGCCATCACACCTGCCTAATTGTTTTTTTTTTGGTGTTGCTGTATTTTCAGTACAGATGGGGTTTCACCATGTTGCCCAGCCTGGTCTTGAACTCCTGACTTCAGGTGATCTGCCTGCCTCGGCCTCTCAACATGCTGGGACTACAGGTGTGAGACACCACGCCAGGCCTACATGCTACTTTTTGCAATGAATAATAACATTCACCTATAAATTATCCATGTTATTTCATATCACTTTAAAGGTTGCATAATAGCCCACTGAGTAGATATACAAATTTACTGAAACATTTTCCTACTGTTAGACATTTAGACTATTTCTAAGATTTACACTGGGATAATCATTTCATACAAAAAGCCTCAATCCTTTTAGGCTAAGCCTTGTCCAATAAGTCCAAACCTCCCCCAAGACAGAGGTTCACTTAATAGGGGAGAGGAGAACCAATTAAGTGACCTAAAAATAACTCTGAAAGAGTGGCTTCTTGCTTTGCTAGATATTCTAGGGCTTCTGGGTCTGGCTCTTATACTTAAACCTGCTCCAGGAACCCATCCTCACCTGTCAGGATAGTAGCCCCAGTGCAGAAGAACCTGCTTATCCCTCTTCATGACTGGTCGTACCCATTCCTCTGGGGATAGAGGCAGAGAAGGGAGAGAGATAAGCTAAAGAGGGACACAAAAAAATACTGTACATAAGCCCTAACTAAAGTGCTCTGCTGTTGTAGCAAGGGACTTGGTAACAGGAACTTAAGGAGGTAGGAGGATTCAAGATTGAAAGAGGAGCCCAGATACTGAATGGTAATCTTAGTCCTCTGCCTCCTACTCCAAGCCATCCATTCAAATTGCCAGAAAAAAACCAGGTCTCACCTTCTTCTAGATTCCCCGGGACAGGATACACAACATGGGAGGCATTGTTCTTATCCTCAGTGACTGTTCCCTGGATGGTACAAGGCAAAGCAGGTAAATTATGGTCCCCTCTGAATTACTCAAAGTTTGTCACAGAGCTGCCTTCCTAATCATATTTTGCTTTGAATGATATTGAAGTAAGTTTGCATTCTCTAAGCACATGCCAGCTAAGTGGCAGAGGGAAATAGCTGGAATTGTGCTAATAATGCAGAAAAGTCAAAGAATTAAAAATTGTTACAAACAATCCTCTGAACAGACATTCTACACATGGAGAATTTAAAGTCAACTGTATGTCACTATCAATGACATCTGTTCATTATTATAAAGTTCCAAACAGCAGGAATTTCATTTATCTGAAGTCAAGCAATCTCCAGCTCAGTGGAAGTGGATACTGTTTTCCCCTAGGCCAACATAGTCTATAGGAATAGTAATGCAAATCTGTCAGGACTGACAAATGGGAGAAGCAGACAGAAAAAGACAGACTCAAGGCTTTAACTCTACTCTTTTTCCAAGTAGACAGAGCCACCTGTGAAGTAGAAAACATGGTAATGCAGGGCTGCTGCTTGGTATGGAAAACATTGGGAAAAGAGTCATGGAGTTTCTGAAACCTTTCCTGACCAGACCATTTACCTGGTGTCTCTTGATAATGTCCTTTAATTTCCCTAGTAGTTTGGGCTCAATTTCTGGGCACAGAAAAATGTTAGGTCGAGACAAGCAATTATTCTGTGGAGAGAAGAAAGAGAATGAGACTATGGGAAAGGAGTGCTTCAGATTCTCACTGAGGGAAGAGAGATAAATAGGGGATATGCCTATTACCTGCACCAAGGACTTCTCAATGGTCATAAACATTTCCACATTGCGGTCCATGCGTGACGGATTCTGGAAATCGTAACGCCGCCTTGTGAAGAGGCAATAATCTAGTGAGTGTTATAGCTCTGGTGTGCAGATGAGGTGAAGGCATGTCACGATCTCGGCTCACTGCAACCTCTGCCTCTCAGGTTCAAGTGATTCTCTTGCCTCAGCCTCCCTATTCCTTAGGATTACAGCCACACGCCACTACACCCAACTAATTTTTGTATTTTTAGTAGAGACCGGGTTTCACCATATTGGCCAGAATGGTCTCCATCTCGACCTTGTGATCTGCCTGCCTTGACTGGGAATCCCTCCCAAAGTGCTGGGATTACAGGTGTGAACCACGGCACCTGGCCTTTTTTTTTTTTTTTTTTGAGATGGAGTCTTGCTCTGTAGCCCAGGCTGGAGTGCAGTGGTGGGATCTTGACTCACTGCAACCTCCACCTCCCGAGTCCTGGTTCAAGCAATTCTACCTCAGCCTTCCAAGTAGCTGGAATTACAGGCACGAGCCACCATACCCAGTCAATTTTTGTATTTTTAAGTAGAGATGGGTTTTCACCATGTTGGCCAGTCTGGTTTTGAACTCCTGACCTCGTGATCCACCTGCCCTGGACTCCCTAAATGGTGGGATTACAGGCGTGAGCCACCGTGCCCAGCCTCTTTTCTTTTAAGAAGGAGTCTCGCTCTGTTGCCCAGGCTGGAGTGCACTGGTGAGATCTCGGCTCACTGCAACCTCTGCCTCCCTTGTATAAGCCATTCTCCTGCCTCAGCCTCCCAAGTAGCCCGGGTGACCCTCGCAGGCCACTACACCTGGCTTTCAGTAGAGATGGGGTTTCATCATGTTGGCTAGGTTTATCTCGGACTCCTGACTTCAAGTGATCTGCCCACCTCAGCCTTCCAAAGTGCTAGGATTACAGGTGGGAGCTACTCTGCCCAGCCATGACTTCTTAATATGGGAAATTAGGAGGCAAGCTTGCTCACAGCTGTTGCCAAAATCACCTGGGATCTGAGGTTCACTGATCTCAACTCCATGAATCACTCTCTGTGCTTACTCCAAAGGGACAAAAAAAGGTTTGAGATGCCAACCTAAGACTCCCTTTCCTTTACAAAACACACACTGATCCTCACATATTCACTCTTGGAGACTGTTTTGGCTCTGACTCCCAACCATTTCTCTGACCTAGTAAGTCAGGTCTACTGACCTAGCAAAATAGACTCACAAGAATTTCTACCCCAGAAAGACCCTAGGGAGTCAAAACAGGGGATTTCCTCTAAACTAAATGTAAGAAGAATAGAGAGAATCATCTCACCATCCCTGGTCACTCTTGAATTTGTAGGCAGCTGCAAGAATGTGGCACAAGGAGCCCCCAGCTTTGAAATCTAGGAAACATTTTATCTACAAAATTAAGATGAAGAAGCATGTCAAGGTTCCATTGTAAATTCTCTCATAACTTAATAATCCTTTTACAAAATCCCATGCTGAACTGATCTCCCTCCCTCTCTCTTTTTTTTTGAGACTGAGTCTCATTCTGTTGCCCAGGCTGGAGTGCAGGGGCATGATCTCGGCTCACTGCAACCTCTGCCTCCTGGGTTCAAGCAATTCCCCTGCCTCAGCCTCCCGGGTAGCTGGGATTACAGGCACCCACCACCACACCCGGCTAATTTTTGTATTTTTAGTAGAGACAGGGTTTCACCAAGTTGGCCAGGATGGTCTCAGTCTCAACCTTGTGATCCACCTGTCTCAGCCTCCCAAAGTGATGGGATTACAAGTATGAGCCACCGTGCCCGGCCTCTTTTTTTTTTTGAGACAGAGTTTTGCTCTTGTCACCCAGGCTGGAGTGCAATGGCACAATCATGGCTCACTGCAACCTCTGAATCTTGGATTGAAGTGATTCTCCTGCCTCAGCCTCCTGAGTAGCTGGGATTACAGGCACCCACCACCACACTCAGCTAATTTTTTTAGTAAAGACGGGTTTTCACCATGTTGGCCAGGTTGGTCCTAAACTCTTGACCTCAGGTAATCCATCCACCTTGGCCTCCCAAAGTGCTGAGATTACAGGCATGAGCCACAGAGCCAGCAAATCTCCCTCTCAAAGCTAAGAGGGAGATCTTTTTTTTTTTGAGATGGAGTTTTGCTCTTGTCGCCCAGGCTGGAGTGCAATGGCGTGATCTTCGCTCACCGCAACCTCCGCCCCCTGGGTTCAAGTGATTCTCCTACCTCAGCCTCCTGAGTCACTGGGATTACAGGCATGCACTACCATGCCCAGCTAATTTTGTATTTTTAATAGAGATGGGGTTTCTCCATGTTGGTCAGGCTGGTCTCGAATCCCTGACCTCAGGTGATCTGCCTGCCTTGTCCTCCCAAAGTGCTTGGATTACAGGCGTGAGCCACTGTGCCCAGCCTCAAAGCTGAAATTATTATTTTTTTGAGACGGAGTTTCGCTCTTTTTGCCCAGGCTGGAGTGCAATGGCACGATCTCGGCTCACCGCAACCTCCTCCTCCTAGGTTCAGGCAATTCTCCTGCCTCAGCCTCCCAAGTAGCTGGGACTACAGGTGCATGCCACCATGCCCAGCTAATTTTTGTATTTTTAGTAGAGACGGGGTTTCACCTCGTTGACCAGGATGGTCTCGATCTCTTGACCTTGTGATCCACCCGCCTCGGCCTCCCAAAGTGCTGGGATTATAGGCGTGAGCCACCGCACCCAGCCAAAGCTGAAATTCTTTAACCCCTGTGCCATTGCATCATGTGGCCTGGAAGAGGGGAGTGAAAGAAACCAATATATGCTAACACTTTACTGAATTACCTCAGCTACCACTATAGAAACCCTACAAGGTAGATTTACTAATCCCATCTAGAGATGAAGGAACCAAGACTGATGAATGTTGCCCAAGGTCACAGAGCCATGAAGTGGCAAAGCCAGGATGTAAACACAAGCCCGCGCAAATCCAAATCTCAAGACCCCCTTTCACCATACCATGAGAGACTCGGGGACTAATCTCAGGCACTCTGCACAAAGTATTACTAAGACAAAAGGAATGGTAAATTGGGGACTAGGCCAAGCCAATAATGCCCTGACCAGGGATAGGAATGGTAGAAAATAATCCAAATTTCAAAAATTACAAAATTCACAAATATTTTAAAAAATACAACTCTCCAGTTTGAAGGATTCACCACCAGCCCCCCCCCACCCTCCCCCCAACTTCAGCACTCACCGGCAGTTTAGTGAGCGGTGCATTGCTGACATGTTTGCCAAAAACTTCTTCCTGAAATTGTAGCAACTGTACAACAAGGCTAGACAGGGACTTGTTGGTGGGTGGTTCAGCTTGTATATACTAGGGATAAAGAGGGAAAGAAAAGAAAAATAGACCCCAGATGAATTGTCCACTATCTCCCATATTTCTCCCCCAGGCACTCTGGAAGCATTTGGAGCAGAGAAAATAGTGTCTTTTACTCCATTTAGTCTCTATAAAGAAAATGGCAGAAGGGAGACCCTGGACACCCCAACCAGGAAGCTGAAACACTGCTGCCAGCAGCCCAGGTTGCCAGTGTGGGGGAAGAGGGAAGCTTACTACTCATCCTCAGCTACACTCTGAAATTGGAGCTGCAGGACCCTAGTACTTTGGCACCTCATCTTCAGCCCACAGCACTGAGGGCTGTAAAATTCTGGAGGTTTACAGAGATGAGGTCATGGAAGCAATACCTCTGGGGCTCTACGAGAGACAAAAGTGTATTTCTTAGGGGAACTCTGTGTAAAGCCATGATTCCCCCTATAATGTAGCCTAACAAGAAAAGGTCAAGGAAGTCAAGGAGGGCAAGCTGACTGAGAGAGTGAGCTTGTGCATTTTGCTTCTGAAGAATGGGTATAAACGTCTTCATATGCCCTCTTAGACAGGAAGGGCCATGGGCTACTTAGCCTGATGGAGAAGAGCAAGACATCTACCCTGTCGGAGGAAACTGTATCTGAGACAAGTAACCCTGGTCCTGCTTCACTGTTTCCACATTATGCTACCTAGCAGCATCCTAGCCTTCCATTCTAATTTGAACCTGAGCCAGGAGACTTTCTTTTTACCTTTTGACCTGTTTTCTCCACCCTCATCACAAAGAAGACAGCACCTCTCAGTGAGAGGTGAAAAGATATCTGTGAAGGGAAAGGTAAATGACAAAGAGCTAAGAGCATGGAAGCTGAACCAGGTCACAGTTGTCAATCACCCCAAGGCTACAGGCTAAGCCCCTAGCCTAATCTCCCTGCAAAAGGTCAAAAGGCCTGGGAACAAGAGCCTCACAAAGGGGCAGAGACCAGCCATAGAAACAGCAGCTATTTGTCAGGATTCTGACACCCAGAGAGACCCCAAGGGCAGGACTAGTCTCATAACCAGGATCAGCAGGAAGTTCTCCTAAGCCACTAAGCACACTTCTGACTAGTTGCAAAGCCGGCAGGAAGAACCAGGGAGCTGAAAGAAAGCCACAAAGAGAACCCCTCTCTGGGAGTAGTGAGAAAGAAGAGAGGCAGACCATTTCCAGAGAAAACCAGGCCTAGAGACAAAGACGACACCAGGAAGAGGTTTAGTAGAAAAGACAGGTAAGGATTCCTGAACCCTTTGTTCACTACCTTATGATCTCCAGTTCTGGGGTTAGGGGGTGAGGAGCTAGAGACAGAAAGCTCACCCTAACCTCTGGACCCCAAACCCAGGGTATTGCAAAGCTAGGTTGCAGGGTGACTTCATTGTAAAATCGAGGAAAGGTTTCAGAAGGGGCCGCTACCCAGGAACTCCTATACCCCGGCTCCCTGAGAGATTCTGTTTCCCCTTAGATGAAGGTGGGGGATGAGCGGCGGAGACAGGTGATCCCAGGGTGGGGACCTTTTTCAGGCTGATGAGCAGCCAGCGGCTTGCTGTGTGACTGTTTACCCTCCTGCTTTCCATCCTCTCTCTCTCTGAACATATACAAAGCACTGGGGAGGCCTCAGCCCCGCTGGTACCTGGCTCCGTGGGGAGCTCTGGCGGGCATGCTCGGGTTTGCGGGGGAGCTCACTGGGCACCCGGTCCACTCCCGGCCGGCCGCCTCTCCCAGAAAAGCCAGGAGGGCGATGGCTGAGGGGGAAGGTGGGCTAATGGCATCGGGGCCCGCCGGGCAGTGGAGAAAAACAAGGGGCAGAGGGCGCAGCAGTGAGGGCGGGGGCTGGGCTCGGAGGCTGGGGGTGCGGGGAGAGGGAGGCTGGGGGAGGGGCGCGGGCGCGCGGGAGGGCGCGCGGGGGGCTGCTCCCGAGGCCGCGGGGGAGGGGCCGGGGCGGCTGGAGGGTGGGCAGGATCCTGGGGCTGCAGGGCCGCTGTCCCTTTGTCCCGCCCCCGGTCGCCAAGCGGCCCGGCCCGGCCCGCGTACCTTCTTATAGTTCTTGCCGAGCCACAGCCGCACGTTGTCGAACTGGGTCACGGTGTCCGCGGCCTCATAATACTTCACGTTGGGGCCGCCGTCCTTCTTCCGCACCGCCATCTTCTCGGGCTCGGGCCCCGCCGCCGCCCGCCCCACTCAGCTCAGCTCCCGCCTCCTCTGCCTCCTCCTCCGCCCGCCTCCCGCCGCCTCCCGCCGCCGCGGCCGCCGCCTCCCGCCGCCTGGGCCGGCCCCGGTCCGCGCTGCGCCCCCTGCCGGCAGGCCGGGCGCGGCGGCGGAGTTCCTGGTGCGGGACGACCCTGGCGGCCTCCCCGGCAGCGGCGGCGGGAGCCTCCGGGGAGGAGGACGCTTCCTGGAGGGGGCGCCATTCTCCAGAGATAGCTCTTAGCAGACGCGAAGCCCTTTTCCTCTTTTTGCTTCAGCTCGGCAGTATCACCTCGCCATCCCACCCCGGGCGGCCGCCGGTCCCCAGAGTGGCTCTCACCTTGCGCATTCCTAACCCCGCGGAGCCCCTAGTCCTCCAAAACCCAAACCCCTTTCCCCAAGAAGTTCCTTCCTTCCATCCATTCCCAGGAGCTGCCTATTTAAACTCTTCTGAGTCTCCCTCACCTCTCGCGCCTGGTCCCACCCAGCACCCCCCTCACTTGTTAACCCAAAAATTCCCTAGCCGCCACGCTGGGGCCCCAGTCCCTTCCCTCGGCTGCTTCCTCCGCAGGCCTCGCCATCGCCTCCTAAGTAGCTGTGAGCTCCTTGAGACCTCGCTCTTCGCTAGGCAGGAGGCCCTCCCTCCCTGGGCCACCCGGTTCATCCGACTCTTTTTCTTTGAGTGGCATAGATAGGAGGTAAGGAGCTAGGGGTGGGGAGTTCTATGGTGTGTGTTTCGCGGCCGGGCCCCCGCTTTCAGTTCTTGTATGCCTTTCCCGGTTGCAGTGCGGACCCCTTCTGTAAGCGCGCGATAAAGCGCGGTTTTGGAAGTCACGGTGGCCGAGTGGTTAAGGCGTTGGACTCGAAATCCAATGGGGTTTCCCCGCACAGGTTCGAATCCTGTTCGTGACGATGGCCTTTTTTTTTTTTTTTTTTTTTAATTAAGACGGAGTCTTGCTCTGTTGCCCAGGCTGGAGTGCAGTGGCGTGATCTCAGCTCACTGCAACCTCTGCCTCCCGGGTTCAAGCAATTCTCCTGCCTCAGCCTCCCGAATAGCTGGGACCACAGGAATGTGCCACCAAACCTGGCTAATTTTTGTATTTTTACTAGAGACGGGGTCTCACCATTTGGCTAGGCTGTTTTTGAACTGACCTTAGGTGATCCGCCCGTCTCAGCCTCCCAAAGTGCTGTGATTACAGGTGCGAGCCACCGCGCCCGGCCTGATGGCGACTTTTTTAACCCCCTTCCTAACATGTAAAGGTAACCCTAGTTCTCGCACGTGTCTTTTGTGCACTTTTCCTTTCTGTCTCCAAAAGGGAAGCTGCCAAAAGGTCTTACCCCTGGATTTGGGAGGATGAGAGTGATCTTGGGAAGCTTAATTATGCACGACTGTATTGGCTGCTAGACTGCAAGGCATTTTCAGAATTTTATAACTTCAGGCTTGGTAAGAGAGCTTTGCCACATGTCTCATTTTTTTGAGGGCATAGAGAAGGATTTGTTTGAAGGATTACATTTTTGTCTGGGAATGTGAGTGGCTGTTTTGCAATATTAGTCAAACCTAGAGTTTCCTCTGAATTTTGTGACCAGAAGTCACACCTTGTAGGTCTGATTACACTGAACAGGGCTCTCTCATCTGGATTTCCTTGAGGTGTCAGGACTAGAAGGGAATAGCCTATTGAAACATCACTGCAGATCCAGCTAGAGCTACGTTGTGAGAAAATAATTATCATATACTCATCTTACCCCATTTTTCTTATTCCCTAATTTCTGATTGTGGAGAGAATCTAGGCTGCTTGTTGAGGATTTTGTTGTTGTTTCGGAGGGTTGTTTTTGAGACAGGGTCCCGCTGTGTTGCCCAGGCTGGAGTACAGTGGTGAGATCTCGGCTTACTGCAATCTCAAACTCTGAGGCTCAGGTGATCCTCCCTCCTCAGTAGCTGGGACTACAGGCATGCACCACCACACCCAGCTAACTTTTTGTATTTTTAGTAGAGAATGGGTTCCAGGATTTCACCATGTTCCACAGACTGGTTTCAAACTCCTGGACTCAAGCAATCCACCTGCCTTATCCTCCCAAAATAAGGGAGGATACAGGTGTGAGTCACCACACCTGGCCAAGGATGTTGCTTTTGTACTTCTTGCACAGCCTTTTCTCCAAAAAGAATCCCAAAGGGCACAGGGCTCAAGGGTAATACATAGAGCTTTCTACACATTTATACCTTACAGTTTCCCACCTTCATACCACTGCTTGGGCTGTTCTTTCCAGCATGACCCTCACATCACCTCCCTGTCCCTCACCATTAACACTCCAAAATCCTTTAGACCCCTCCTCTCTGATGTTCTTGATCACTCCAGCTACCTATCAGTCCACCACCATCACCATTCACTGAATTGCATAAAAGCCCTCTCCCTTGATATGCTAACATAAATATAAAATAACGGGGCTGGGCATGGTGGCTTACACCTGTAATCCCAGCACTTTGAGAGTCTGAGGCAGGTGGATCATGAGGTCAGGAGTTCAAGACCAGCCTGGCCAACAGAGTGAAACCCCATATCTACTAAAAATACAAAAATTAGCCTGCATGGTGGCGTGCGCCTGTAATCCCAGCTACTTCAGAGGCTGAAGCAGGAGAATCACTGGAACCCAGGAGGTGGAGGGTGCAGTGAGCCAAGATCCCACCCCTATACTCCAGCTTGGGCAACTCACAGCAGCGAGACTCTGTCACACGTACAAAATATAATAAAATAAAATAAAAACAAATTTAATTTATTTTAATATGTCTCAAATCTCACTTTTCTCAGGAATGAGCGCAGGCTGGGCTTGAGCCTTCATTTGGAAAGTAGTAGTATTTGTGAGCACCATACGAAGTAATACATATGAAGCTGCACTAAAGCATCCACACTGCAGTCCAGGACCTTCCATGGCTGCTTTCTGTGTTGCATGATATGACCCCTTTTTTTCCACCACTCTTCCATATTCACTACATTCTGTCCACTGGCATTCTTTTAGTTCCTGGTAGTTATTTGGCCTTGCTCATAGTGTTCTCTGCCTGGAATAATCTTTTTCTTCCACACTTTCTTTCTATTCATTCTCTACCGAAATGTTGGTTTTCCTGGGGAGTCTTCTCTAACCACTTGTTGCCCACCACATCCTATGCCCTCATCTTTTTTTTTTTTTTGAGACAGTTTCACTGTGTTGCCCAGGCTGGAGTGTAGTGGCACAATCTTGGCTCACTACACCCTCCGCCTCCTGGGTTCAAGTGATTCTCCTGCCTCAACTCTTGAGTAGCTGGGATTACAGGCGTGCGCCACCATGCCCATCTAAGTTTGTATTTTTAGTAGAGACAGGGTTTCATCATGTTAGTCAGGCTGGTCTTGAACTTCTAACCTCGTGATTTGCCCACTTGGGCCTCCCAAAGTGCTGGAATTACAGGCGATTTCAAGCGATTCTTCCTCAGCCTCCTGAGTAGCTGGGACTGACTACAGGTGCGTGCAATCACGTCTGGCTAATTTTTGTGTTTTTATTTTTTATTTTATTTATTTATTTGAGACAGAGTTCTGCTATTGTTACCCAGACTGGAGTGCAATGGTGCGATCTCGGCTTACTGCAACCTCCTCCTCCTGAGTTCCGGCAATTCTCCTGCCTCAGCCTCCTGGGTAGCTGGGATTACAGGCATGCGCCACCATTGCCCAGCTAATTTTTTGTATTTTTAGTAGAGACAGGGTCTCAGTCTCTTGACCTTGTGATCCACCCGCCTCGGCCTCCCAAAGCGCTGGGTTTACAGGCGTGAGCCACCGCGCCTGGCCAATTTTTGTGTTTTTAGCAGAGATGGGGTTTCACTATATTGGCCAGGCTGGTCTTGACCCTGTGATCTGCCTCAGCCTCCTAAAGTGCTGGGATTACAGGCATGAACCACTGTGCCTTGCCAACTATGTACATATTTTAATCTTCCGACTGGTCTATACGCTTCTTGAGAGTTAGGGCTGTGGATTTCATTTATTTGTATTTCCTCTACAAGGCCTTATAGATATTTTTAAAAATTTGTTGTGGCTGGGGGCAGTGGCTCATGCCTATAATCCCAGCAGTTTGGGAGGCCAAGGCGGGTGGTTCATTAGGTCAGGAGCTCGAGACCAGCCTGGCCAACATGGTGAAACCTCGTCTCTACTAAAGATACAAAAAGTTAGCTGGGCGTGGTGGTGTGCACCTGTAATCCTAGCTACTCGGGAGGCTGAGGCAGGAGAATTGCTTGAACCCAGGAGGAGGAGGTTGCAGTGAGCCGAGATTGCACCATTGCACTCCAGCCTGGGTGACAGGGTGAGACTGTCTCAAAAAAAAAAAAAAATGTGTTGCATAAATGGGTGTTTTTTACAGTAGTTATGTGTACATGTTTTAATCTTCAGACTGGTCTATACGCTTCCTGAGTTAGCTCTGTGTATTTTATTTATTTGTATCTCCTTTACAAGGCTTTATAGATGTGATCAACTATGAATTGAATGAATTTATAAAATCTCAGGCTCGCGATTCTGCTTCCTACCAAATCCCAATTTGCACAGGCTCTCATATTTACATGACTGGAGAGCAAGACCAGAATTGACCAGCAGAGGGCAACCAACGACCATGCTGTGAAGGGAAGAAGGCTCCATTTTTTACAAAATGGAGGATCTGGACCAAGAAGGGAAGTATGGCAGAGGTAGTTTGCTACTTGAAGATCATCCCTTTTACTCTCAAATGCTTCTCTTGTAACTTTTGTGGGTGAGAGTCCAACCAAAGCTTCGAACCTTCATATACAATAGATCATTTTAAATTTCTACCATCCCCATATACCCACCCCAACTCCCCAATTCCTTCACTCTTCCTCTTCTACTCCAACAAATCCTGTCTGTTATTTTACCTTGCATGATCTGGCCCCCTCTCTCCCACCGTTCTTTACATATTCACATAACACCCACTTGCATTCTTTAGCTCCTGCTACAGTACGCGGCCTTGCATATTTTCCCTGAAGTAACCTTCTCCAGTTAGGCCTGTAGTCCCACTCATTTAAATCTGGTAAGGAACCTTCCATAAATATCCTTCT